ATAAGGTGACCCAACGGCGCCGTCGTCCGAAAGTCGTCGATTCGTAAGCTCCCTAATATGACGGAAACATAACGTGGCATTTCCGTTCCGGTAACATGACGGAGACTTGATAGAATCGCCAAGACTTGGTATTTTACGTTTCCGCAAAACGTAAGTGTAACGGAAACATGAAATTCTCTGTGTCCGTCGCGTTTAAGAAATGCGGAAACAAAGAATTTCGTCCTGTGTTATTTCACTTTATGATAAAGTTTCCATATAACGCGGGCTCTGATTGGCTAAAACAGCGCGCGTTAATCAGAGAACTAAGCACGGTTTGGTAACGATAAGCTGGCTTTCAAATGTTTGCTTCGGAATTTTGACAAATTTGACCCAAATTAAACATGCCCTGTAACTCAGACAAACGCAATGGAAACGAGCTATTTGTCCGCGGTAAATATGGCTGCACAGAGACCATTGTTAACAGTAGCAATAAAACTGTACTAAAATAACAAGTTCTGCTAGATTCCGACAAAACAAGTAGCAAAATAAACAAATTCTCAACCTAGCGAATGCTTCGATAAAAGACATTATATTTGTTACAAAGGCAGAAATTATACTCAAGAAGTAAAACAACAACAGAAAACGCCAATTGAGCTGTCTCTGTTTATGATGAGAAGCTTTATTTTCTAAAAATGCTCAAACAATACTTACGTGCAGTGTAGTAACGCTCGTTTGCTTACCAGCGATCTCCGGTCTACACAATGCATTGTCGGGTTTAGTCTTTTGTTACAAAGGTATGTTAGAAAAGGTAATGATGTAAAGAACCCAGCAATTCTCAGATTTTTCTTTGTTACCGAAAGAACCCAGTTAAATGCAGCGCATGCATAGTAAGTCAAAAAAATGCGATTAAGTGCGGAAAAGCTTTCTCGGAAAATACGCCCTTTTCTCGAGAACAAACGCATTAGAATTTCACGAAATTTGGCACTTAAATACTTTAGGAAATAAGTAATTTGAACTTTAACAGAGGAAATTCTAGATATTCCAGTGAACCTCCAACAAGGAATAATTATAATAAAGTTTCCCTATAACGCGCGCTCTGATTGGCTGAAACAGCATGCTCTATCAGAGAACAGAGCACGGGTTGATGACGGTAAGTTGGCTTCCAAATTTTTGCTTCGGAATTTTGACAAATTTGACCCAAATTTAACATCCGCTGTGACTCAGACAAACGCAGTGGAAGCGAGCTATTTTTCTGCAGTAAATATGGCTCACAGAGACCATTGTTAGCAACAGTAGTGTTAAAATTGTACCAAAATAACAAGTTTTGCTAGATTCCTGCCGACAAAACATGTACAGCTCTAGCGAAATAAACAAATTCTCAACCTAAACAGTGCTTCGATAAAGACATTATATTTGTTATGAAGGCAGAAATAATACTAAGAAATA